CCGTCTTTATACCAGCTGCCGTCTTTATACCAGCTACCGTCTTTATACCAGCTACTGCCTTTATACCAGCTACCGTCTTTATATCAGCTACTGCCTTTATACCAACTACCGTTTTTATACCAGCTGCCGTCTTTATACCAGCTACCGGCTTTATACCAGCTACCGTCTTTATACCAACTGCCGTCTTTATACCAGCTACCGTCTTTATACCAGCTACCGTCTTTATACCAACTACTGCCTTTATACCAGCTACTGCCTTTATACCAGCTACCGTCTTTATACAAGCTACTGCCTTTATACCAGCTACCGTCTTTATACCAGCTGACGTCTTTATACCAGCTACTGCCTTTATACCAGCTACTGCCTTTATACCAGCTACCGTCTTTATATCAGCTACTGCCTTTATACCAGCTACTGTCTTTATACCAGCTGCCGTCTTTCTACCAGCTACTGCCTTTATACCAGCACCCGCCTTTATACCAGCTACCGTCTTTATATCAGCTACTGTCTTTATACCAGCTCCCGCCTTTATACCAGATACCGTTTTTATACCAGCTACTGCCTCTATACCAGCTCCCGCCTTTATACCAGCTACTGCCTTTATACCAGCTACTGCCTTTATACCAACAACCGACTTTATACCAGCTACTGTCTTTATACCAGCTCCCGCCTTTATACCAGCTACTGCCTTTAAACCAACTTCCGCCTTTATATCAACTACCGCCTTTATACCAGCTATCGCCTTTATACCAGCTACTGCCTTTATACATACTACCGCCTTTATGCCAGCTACCCTCTTATACCAGCTACTGCCTTTATACCAACTACCGCCTTTATACCAGCTATCGCCTTTAAACCAACTTCCGCCTTTATATCAACTACCGCCTTTATACCAGCTATCGCCTTTATACAAGCTACTGCCTTTATACATACTACCGCCTTTATGCCAGCTACCCTCTTATACCAGCTACTGCCTTTATACCAACTACCGCCTTTATACCAGCTATCGCCTTTATACCAGCTATCGCCTTTTTATACAAACTACTGCCTTTATACCAGCTACCGTCTTTATATCAGCTACTGTCTTTATACCAGCTCCCGCCTTTATACCAGATACCGTTTTTATACCAGCTACTGCCTTTATACCAGCTACTGCCTTTATACCAACTTCCTCCTTTATACCAGCTACCGTCTTTATACCAGCTACTGCCTTTATACCAGCTCCCGCCTTTATACAAGCTCCCGCCTTTATACCAGCTACTGCCTTTATACCAACTTCCGCCTTTATACCAACTTCCGCCTTCATACCAACTACTGCCTTTATACCAGCTATCGCCTTTATACCAGCTATCGCCTTTATACCAGCTACTGCCTTTATACCAGCTATCGCCTTTATACCAGCTACTGCCTTTATACATACTACCGCCTTTATACCAGCTACCCTCTTATAGCAACTACTGCCTTTATACCAACTACCGCCTTTATACCAGCTATCGCCTTTAAACCACCTACTGCCTTTATACAAACTACCGCCTTTATACCAGCCATCGCCTTTATACCAGCTACTGTCTTTATACCAGCTATCGCCTTTATACCAACTTCCGCCTTCATACCAACTACTGCCTTTATACCAGCTATCGCCTTTATACCAGCTACTGCCTTTATACATACTACCGCCTTCATACTAGCTACCCTCTTATACCAGCTACTGCCTTTATACATACTACCGCCTTTATACCAGCTACCCTCTTATAGCAACTACTGCCTTTATACCAACTACCGCCTTTATACCAGCTATCGCCTTTAAACCAGCTACTGCCTTTATATCAACTACCGCCTTTATACCAGCTCTCGCCTTTATACAAGCTACTGCCTTTATACATACTACCGCCTTTATGCCAGCTACCCTCTTATACCAGCTACTGCCTTTATACCAACTACCGCCTTTATACCAGCTATCGCCTTTATACCAGCTACTGCCTTTATACCAGCTATCGCCTTTTTATACAAACTACTGCCTTTATACCAACTACCGCCTTTATACCAGCTATCGCCTTTATACCAGCTATCGCCTTTATACCAGCTATCGCCTTTTTATACAAACTACTGCCTTTATACCAGCTACCGTCTTTATATCAGCTACTGTCTTTATACCAGCTCCCGCCTTTATACCAGCTACCGTTTTTATACCAGCTACTGCCTTTATACCAGCTACTGCCTTTATACCAACTTCCTCCTTTATACCAGCTACCGTCTTTATACCAGCTACTGCCTTTATACCAGCTCCCGCCTTTATACAAGCTCCCGCCTTTATACCAGCTACTGCCCTTATACCAACTTCCGCCTTTATACCAACTACCGCCTTTATACCAGCTATCGCCTTTATACCAGCTCCCGCCTTTATACCAGCTCCCGCCTTTATACCAGCTACTGCCTTTATACCAACTTCCGCCTTCATACCAACTACTGCCTTTATACATACTACCGCCTTCATACCAGCTACCCTCTTATACCAGCTACTGCCTTTATACATACTACCGCCTTTATACCAGCTATCGCCTTTATACATACTACCGCCTTTATACCAGCTACTCTCTTATAGCAACTACTGCCTTTATACCAACTACCGCCTTTATACCAGCTATCGCCTTTAAACCAGCTACTGCCTTTATACCAGCTACTGCCTTTATACAAACTACCGCCTTTATACAAACTACCGCCTTTATACCAGCCATCGCCTTTATACCAGCTACTGCCTTTATACCAGCTACTGCCTTTATACAAACTACCGCCTTTATACCAGCTATCGCCTTTATACCAGCTACTGCCTTTATACCAGCTACTGCCTTTATACCAGCTACTGCCTTTATACCAACTACCGCTTTTATACCAGCTACTGCCTTTATACCAGCTACTGCCTTTATACAAACTACCGCCTTTATACCAGCTACTGCCTTTATACCAGCAACTGCCTTAATACGAGCTACTGCCTTAATACCAGCTACTGCCTTTATACCAGCAACTGCCTTAATACGAGCTACTGCCTTAATACCAGCTACTGCCTTTATACCAGCTACTGCCTTTATACCAACTACCGCCTTTATACCAGCTACTGCCTTTATACCAGCTACTGCCTTTATACCAGCTACTGCCTTTATACCATCTACTGTCTTTATACCAGCTACTGCCTTTATACCAGCTATCGCCTTTATACAAACTACCGCCTTTATACCAGCTATCGCCTTTATACCAGCTATCGCCTTTATACCAGCTACTGTCTTTATATCAGCTACTGCCTTCATACAAGCTATCGCCTTTATACCAGCTACTGCCTTTATACCAGCTACTGCCTTTATACCAGCTACTGCCTTTATACCAGCTACTGCCTTTATACGAACTACTGTTTTTATACAAACTACCGCCTTTATACCAGCTATCGCCTTTATACCAGCTACTGCCTTTATACCAGCTATCGCCGTTATACCAGCTACTGCCTTTATACCAGCTACTGCCTTTATACATACTCCTGAACGACCCTAATCATGTGCTGTTTGTGATACCTAATATTGAGATGCTGACGTCACTTCCGCAACGAATCTGCCCAGGGTACATAGCACGATTGTGGTGTGTTTGTGTGTGTGTGTGTGTGTGTGCGTATGCGTGTGGTGTGGTGTGGTGTGGTGTGGTGCGTGTGCGTGTGCGTGTGCGCGTGCGTGTGCGTGTGGTGTGGTATGGTGTGGTGTGGTGTGTGTGCGTGTGCGTGTGCGTGTGCGTGTGCGTGTGGTGTGGTGTGGTGTGGTGTGGTGCGTGTGCGTGTGCGTGTGCGTGTGGTGTGGTATGGTGTGGTGTGGTGTGTGCGTGAATGTGTGTTCGTGTATGTGTGTGGTGTGGTGTGGTGTGTGGATGTTGGTGTACGTGTGCGTGTGGTGTGTGCGTGTATGTGTGTGCGTGTATGTGTGTGCGTGTGGTGTGGTGTGGTGTGTGGGTGTGGGTGTACGTGTGCGTGTGGTGTGGTGTGTGGTGTGTGCGTGTATGTGTGTGCGTGTGGTATGGTGTGTGGGTGTGGGTGTACGTGTGCGTGTGGTGTGGTGTGGTGTGTGCGTGTATGTGTGTGCGTGTGGTGTGGTGTGGTGTGGTGTGGTGTGGTGTGTGGTGTATGCCTGTGTGTGTATGTGTGTGTGCGTGTGTGTGGTGTATGGTGTGTGTGTATGTGTGTGTGTGGTGCGTGCGTGCGTGCGTGCGTGCGTGCGTGCGTGCGTGTGTTCGTCTGTGTGTGAGTGGCTACTTCTACAAGTCCGGACTGATGCCGATGAATAACATGCATACCCCACTGAGACACAGTATACTGACTCCGAGCCGACCAGTCCTTGTTTGAACTCCTTTATGCCGAGCGCCAGAACCCCAGACCTTCCGCTCTCCGGGCGGACGCTCTACCTCGGTCCGCGATAGAAAAGAGATTTACTACACTGGATAAACGAGGATGCACAAATATAGAGTCGTAGCCCCTTGTTAGGGTCAGTAGTCCTTATAGCGTTAGCGTTATCAACCTAGCCATCTCGTCAAACCATAGACAGGATACACGTCACAGAATCCTCAACATACAGAGAACAAATAATATATCTTCACAAATCTGTCAAATACTAGTATATACATTTAAAAATACTTTTGAACTTCAGAAAATACAAAAAGTAGTATTGGTTTATCAACAACAATGATTGTGCCTCTTTCGTATTTCTCGGGCAATTGGGTAGCCTAGTGGTTCAAGCATTCACTCATCACGCGGGGCGGTCGGGTAGCCTAGTGGTTAAAGCGTTCGCTCGTCACGCTGAAGACCCGGGTTCGATTCCCGACATGGGTACAATATGTGAAGCCCATTTCTGGTGTCCCCCGCCGTGATATTGCTGGAATATTGCTAAAAGCGGCGTAAAACCATACTCACTCACTCATTCGTAGTTCTTACCCTCTTTGTTGTTGTTGATGACTATGTCTTCAATGTTCAGGAGTCCGGCCTCTCTGACTGGATTGGGGAGAAACTGCAGGTGCTTGCTGAGCTGAATCCGTACCTCACGATGCTCATCCTCTGCTACATCGTGTCATTCGCCACACAGTTCATGAGTAACGTTGCCCTGGCAACGCTCATTATGCCTATAATGGCCAAAATGGTAAGTCATGGTTACCCGCATCCCTTGCATTAAGAGTCAGCTGATTCATTTTACATTTGTCCAGCTCAGGGGTAGAATAGGTCTTCAGCAACCCATGTTTGCCGTTAAAGGCGATGATGCTTGTCGTAAGATGCGTCTAACGGGATCGGATGGTCAGGCTCGCTGACTTGGTTTATTGCATGTCATTGTATCCCAATTGCGTGGATCGATGCTCTTGATGTCTATCACTGGATTATCTGGTCCAGACATGAGTATTTACAGACCGCCGTCTTATTGCTGTAATATTGCTGAGTGCGGCGTTAAACACCAAACAAACAAAATATTTGTCCAGAGATATGCGTTCGCAATTTCTGTGCAGGGCTACGTCCCTTGGCCGCTATAGGATCAGCTGAATATTCAAATCCCAAATCATTATTAGAACATACGTGCAATAGGGGAGGTCCATTTCAGATGTCACCCGCCATATATTGCCGCAAAATGAGGGTAAAAGCGGCGTAAAACACGACTCACTCGCTGTTTGAATGTTAGCCTGTGGTTCCATTAGTGGTCATTCTGATGAGAACATTTATTTCCAGGCCATCAACATCGGCTTCAGCCCCCTCTTCTTCATGTTCCCCGTCACCGTAGCAACATCATTCTCCTTTATGTTGCCAATAGCAACGCCTCCAAACGCCATCGTGTTTTCCTACGGAACAGTGGGCGTGGCGGACATGGTAAGCATCTTCCATACGTGGTTGACCATCTTCCCGTGACAAGCGTGTCCACTAGCTCATATCAAAGCCTAGTTTCTACCCTTGCTACATCAAGGCAACTTTTCTTAGCTCGATCCTGGTGCCAAATCTCGTAGATCACAAATTGCTGTTCTTAGTCGTATAGCTTCAAAAAAGATGGCGACTACCACTGGCGACGACCAACAAAAACAGTCGCGATTTCACCCCTGACACAAAAACATAGGCAATCGTGGGGGTGGGGATAGGTTGGGAATGGGAGGGGTGATGTGGGTTAAAAGAAGAAAAAGACATATTCCAGCATTAAATCACTCTCAAACGAAGGTGTACCATGTTGATTTTCTTAAACGTTCTCTGATTGAACTATCGATGTGTGCGAAAGTCCAATCTTATTTAGCACAGGAAAGTGGGCTTGAAGTGGCAAGGGCGGAGACAAGACTTCGATAAAAAGGCTAGTGACGCTTTTGCCTCGGGAAGGTGTGGTTCACAGTGACACGTGTTGCAAACATTAAACACAAGCTGTTGCTCTATCCTGTGCCAACCCCCAGGGAGTTTCCAGAGAGGTTCCAAGCATCATATGCTTGTCGTAAGAGCTGGTCCATGATGAACATCCTGTTGCAACGGCTGTCTTGTTATCATCTTACCTTACTGCTCATAATATCAATCACTGGTTTGTGCCGTCCAGACTCGGTTTTATATATATATATATATATATATGTATATATATATATATATATATACTGGAGCGGGGTAGTTTGGTTTTACGCCGCTTTTGGCAATATCCCAGGAATATCACGGCGGGGGACACCGGTAACGGGCTTCACACATTTTGCCCATGTAGGGAATCGAACCCGGGTTCCTGGCATGACGGGCGCACGTTGTAACCACTCGGCTACCCGACCGCCCCTGTTCTTGCTGTCTGTAATATTGATGATTTTTGTTATAAACATTTTCTATGAAAGATGTTTTTTATCGTGAAGCAGATTTCTAAAAGTAATTCAAATTATGACCATTTAATTGCGAAACAGACGTTATTTTGCAACAGTTGAAACATGGTTTGTTCACAGGCGATTAGCGGTTTAGTCATGAACATCATATCCGTCCCCGTTATCGTCTTGGCAACAGCGACGTGGGGAAACGCCTTCTTTGACCTTGAAATCCTCCCCTCAGGCTTTGTAAAGGGACCAACAGCCATCTCCCACTTGAACGCTTCAATCTCCAACACGACGACCTGACAACGTCTTTCTACAAACAGCCACAACCATTTCCCGCTTGAACGCTTCAAACTCCAACACGACGACCTGACAACGTCTTTTACAAACAGCCACAAGTATCCCATCCTGAACGCTTCAAACTCCAAAACGACGACCTGACAACGTCTTTCTACAGACAGCCACAACCATTTCATCCTGAACGCTTCAATCTCCAACACGACGACCTGACAACGTCTTTCTATAAACAGCCACAACCATCTCCCGCTTGAACGCTTCAATCTCCAACACGACGACCTGACAACGTCGTTCTACAAACAGCCACAACCATTTCATCCTGAACGCTTCAATCTCCAACACGACGACCTGACAACGTCTTTCTTCAAACAGCCACAAGCATCTCATCCTGAACGCTTCAAACTCCAACACGACGACCTGACAACGACTTTCTACAAACAGCCACAACCATTTCATCCTGAACGCTTCAATCTCCAAAACGACGACCTGACAACGTCTTTCTACAAACAGCCAAAACCATCTCCCGCTTGAACGCTTCAAACTCCAACACGACGACCTGACAACGTCTTTCTACAGACAGCCACAACCATTTCATCCTGACCGCTTCAATCTCCAACACGACGACCTGACAACGTCTTTCTACAAACAGCCACAACCATTTCATACTGAACGCTTCAATCTCCAACACGACGACCTGACAACGTCGTTCTACAAACAGCCACAACCATCTCCCGCTTGAACGCTTCAAACTCCAACACGACGACCTGACAACGTCTTTCTACAAACAGCCACAACCATTTCATCCTGAACGCTTCAATCTCCAACACGACGACCTGACAACGTCTTTCTACAAACAGCCACAACCATCTCCCGCTTGAACGCTTCAAACTCCAACACGACGACCTGACAACGTCTTTTACAAACAGCCACAAGTATCCCATCCTGAACGCTTCAAACTCCAAAACGACGACCTGACAACGTCTTTCTACAGACAGCCACAACCATTTCATCCTGAACGCTTCAATCTCCAACACGACGACCTGACAACGTCTTTCTACAAACAGCCACAACCGTCTCATCCTGAGCGCTTCAAACTCCAACACGACGACCTGACAACGTCTTTCTACAAACAGCCACAAGCATCTCCCGCTTGAACGCTTCAATCTCCAACACGACGACCTGACAACGTCGTTCTACAAACAGCCACAATTATTTCATCCTGAACGCTTCAATCTCCAACACGACGACCTGACAACGTCTTTCTTCAAACAGCCACAAGCATCTCATCCTGAACGCTTCAAACTCCAACACGACGACCTGACAACGTCTTTCTACAAACAGCAACAACCATCTCCCGCTTGAACGCTTCAATCTCCAACACGACGACCTGACAACGTCTTTCTACAAACAGCAACAACCATCTCCCGCTTGAACGCTTCAATCTCCAACACGACGACCTGACAACGTCGTTCTACAAACAGCCACAATTATTTCATCCTGAACGCTTCAATCTCCAACACGACGACCTGACAACGTCTTTCTTCAAACAGCCACAAGCATCTCATCCTGAACGCTTCAAACTCCAACACGACGACCTGACAACGTCTTTCTACAAACAGCCACAACCATTTCATACTGAACGCTTCAATCTCCAACACGACGACCTGACAACGTCGTTCTACAAACAGCCACAACCATCTCCCGCTTGAACGCTTCAAACTCCAACACGACGACCTGACAACGTCTTTCTACAAACAGCCACAACCATTTCATCCTGAACGCTTCAATCTCCAACACGACGACCTGACAACGTCTTTCTACAAACAGCCACAACCATCTCCCGCTTGAACGCTTCAAACTCCAACACGACGACCTGACAACGTCTTTTACAAACAGCCACAAGTATCCCATCCTGAACGCTTCAAACTCCAAAACGACGACCTGACAACGTCTTTCTACAGACAGCCACAACCATTTCATCCTGAACGCTTCAATCTCCAACACGACGACCTGACAACGTCTTTCTACAAACAGCCACAACCGTCTCATCCTGAGCGCTTCAAACTCCAACACGACGACCTGACAACGTCTTTCTACAAACAGCCACAAGCATCTCATCCTGAACGCTTCAAACTCCAACACGACGACCTGACAACGTCTTTCTACAAACAGCCACAACCATCTCCCGCTTGAACGCTTCAATCTCCAACACGACGACCTGACAACGTCGTTCTACAAACAGCCACAATTATTTCATCCTGAACGCTTCAATCTCCAACACGACGACCTGACAACGTCTTTCTTCAAACAGCCACAAGCATCTCATCCTGAACGCTTCAAACTCCAACACGACGACCTGACAACGTCTTTCTACAAACAGCCACAACCATTTCATACTGAACGCTTCAATCTCCAACACGACGACCTGACAACGTCGTTCTACAAACAGCCACAACCATCTCCCGCTTGAACGCTTCAAACTCCAACACGACGACCTGACAACGTCTTTCTACAAACAGCCACAACCATTTCATCCTGAACGCTTCAATCTCCAACACGACGACCTGACAACGTCTTTCTACAAACAGCCACAACCATCTCCCGCTTGAACGCTTCAATCTCCAACACGACGACCTGACAACGTCTTTCTACAAACAGCCACAAGCATCTCATCCTGAACGCTTCAATCTCCAACACGACGACCTGACAACGTCTTTCTACAAACAGCCACAAGTATCTCATCCTGAACGCTTAAAACTCCAACACGACGACCTGACAACGTCTTTCTACAAACAGCCACAATCATCTCATCCTGAACGCTTCAAACTCAAATACGACGACCTGACAACGTCTTTCTACAAACAGCCACAAGCATCTCATCCTGAACGCTTCAATCTCCAACACGACGACCTGACAACGTCTTTCTACAAACAGCCACAAGTATCTCATCCTGAACGCTTAAAACTCCAACACGACGACCTGACAACGTCTTTCTACAAACAGCCACAATCATCTCATCCTGAACGCTTCAAACTCAAATACGACGACCTGACAACGTCTTTCTACAAACAGCCACAACGTTCTCATCCTGAACGCTTCAAACTCCAACACGACGACCTGACAACGTCAACTGTGTGATGACAGTTACATCAGCATCATCGAGCATGTAGAGAGGATCAAATAAATGATGTTCGAATGATAACCGAGTGAGTGGATATTGTTTAACTCCGCATTAAGTGATATTCAAAATACAATATTTTTTAAAGTGAAGTTTACACCATATCAGCTTTCCCTTTGAACAAGAATGCGGCCAAAAGAGTGCGAAACTGACTGTCCGAAGTCACCTGTGATGATAAAACAGTTTTTGCGTCTTGGCATCCACAAGTCGTGGAATTTACATCAGGGGCAACGAAGACCACGCTCCTGTGTCATTGAGCCTCTATGATAAAATGGTATAGGAAATTGAACTGCTGGTGGTTCCTAAAATTTGAAATATTGTAGAGTGAGTGAGTGAGTATGGTTTTAGGCCGCTTTTAGCAATATTCCAGCAATATCACGGCGGGGGACACCAGAAATGGCTTCACAGATTTTACCCATGTCGGGAATCGAACCCGGGTCTTCGGCGTGACGAGCGAACGCTTTAACCACTAGGCTACCCGACCGCCCTGAAATATTGTAGAGATTTTCCTTTGCCTTAGAATGAACATCAATTCTCTTGTTTGAAACTTTTTATTTCAGGAACATGCGCTCTTAATCTGCCAACACGACCACAACAATCTGATTTAGGTTTGGCCAAGGTTTCCAATCAGTATCAAGACTTCAAGCAATCATAATCAATCTCACAATCTGCGTATTTGTAGTTGTCATATAACCAAGGCACTGGGCTGGAACTGCAGACAAATGCCCTCTTCGTTACGCGTGATGATACGTCACAGGGGGCGGTCGAGTAGCCTAGTGGTTAAAGCGTTCGCTTGTCACGCCGAAGACCCAGGTTCGATTCCCGACATGTGAATGTTGTCGTGAATGTGTGAAGCCCATTTCTGGTGTCCCCCGCCGTGATATTGCTGGAATATTGCTAAACGCGGCGTAATATCAAACTCACTCACTCACTATACGTCGGAGCATCACGGCGACCTGAGGCTGTGACAATTTCTGTTAAACTTACTAAATCATTGTAATGCATCTATTTCTATTTCCGAACTGAAACACAAAGGTTGACCTAGACATGGGTATGTATTGTGAAATCAGTAAACGCCCACACAAGATCAATGAATAACATTTTTTTAATTTGAAGTTTACACGATAAACGGCTTTTCCATTGGACGCGAGGTCGGTCACATGATCGCGAAATTGACGTTCATAAGTGTATGAACGACACAATTTGACGTTCATACGTCTTTAACGAGATCGTGTTCCTGAAATGACACTGGCGGACTACTTCCACATTCCTGGGGAAACCCCTGGGAATTCCCTCGAACGAAAACATACATAAGCGTTCTTTCTGATCATTTAGAACCTTTATTCTTGGTCTCAGCGTTTCAGTATACATTGAGAAATGTCAGAGAGCGTGACTGCATGATTGTTCACGAATATCCTCGCTGCGGCCTATCCCAATGAACAAACGAAGAAATGCACATCTAAACTATCGTAGTATCGACTCAATGCGTGCCTAGGCTGACACTGACCGTCTCCAGCAATCTATGATTATACCTTAGTGTCTGTTTGACGCATCTTCATTCACCTTTCAATGATCGGCCAGTTGATCAATAATGACTTACACATGTAACCGCCACATGTTCATTAAGAACTTCGGAAATCTCTCCCGTCACGTTTATCGTGTCGGCCATTTTGACGTCTTGTACTTGATGTAAATGTATTACGACGCGCTGTCATTGTGACTGACTTAATGAGGTAGTTCTTAACAGACCTTCTCATCTAATGAGGATATGATTTGAACACATGTGCTGCCTAAGATGTTTCTGAAGAGCAAGTTGTGCATCCATACGCCCATGTCACCTCTCTTTTTGAGGAACTATTTTACTACGCGATATAGCTGGTTGTTGTATGGCTGTCAGTGTAAACACGAAGTCACACGTACTAAATAAAATTGTGTTTAGATCTTGGCCTACATCCTTTGAGGTAAGAAATTGTGATAAAAAATAATAAGAATTGACTTTCACCTTGTGTGAGTTCATTGGAGTATGAACCTTCATAGAGTGAGGGCCAAATTGTAGGAACGTCGGAGCTTGCGACGACGTTCATACAATGTTTGGCCCTCTCTCTATGAAGGTCCATACTCCAATGAACTCACACAAAGTGAAGGTCATTTCTTAAATGAATCAACTATATCCAAACACACAGTTAAAGGTGACAAGACAATCCGATAGGTTGAGTTGGGTAAGCAGCAATAAGACCCAATTACATGTTAAGCCCAGTTAGAAATGTTGGTACTGTCGAATGTCCTGACGCAGGCCTGGCTCCGTGCTGGAATCCAGCGTTGGTGGCAGGGGGGGACTAGATGTTCATAAAACCGGTTTTCATTCCTCACTTGGCATGTAGATGACACACAAGTAAGGTGATAAAGAGGTCTGGACCTTCCTCGCCCCGTAACTTGACTACCACTACCCTTGACACGACAACAACAGCCTCTTCTACTGCCACTGACCCAACACCATCTCTACTGCTGCCACTGACACGACAACAACAGTCTCTTCTGATGCCACTGACACGACAACAACAGTCTCTACTGCTCACACTAACACAACAACAACAGTCTTACTGCTGTCACAACAACAGCAACAACAACAACAGTCTCTACTACTGCCACTGACACGACAACAACAGTCTCTTTTGCTGTCACTGACACGACAACAACAGTCTCTTCTGCTGCCACTGACACAACAACAACAGTCTCTACTACTGCCACTGGCACAACAACAGTCTTCACTACTGCCACTGACCCAACACCATCTCTACTACTGCCACTGACACAACAACAACAGTCTCTACTGCTGTCACTGACACAACAACAATCTCTACTGCTGTCACTGACACAGCAACAACAGTCTCTACTACTGCCACTGACACAACAACAGTCTCTACTACTGTCACTGACACAACAACAACAGTCTCTACTGCTGTCTCTGACACAACAACAACAGTCTCTACTACTGCCACTGACACGCCAACAACAGTCTCTACTACTGCCACTGACACGCCAACAACAGCAATCTCTACTGCTGCCACTGACACAACACCATCTCTACTGCTGCCACTGACACAACAACAATAGTCTTACTGCTGTCACAACAACAACAACACCATCTCTACTACTGCCACTGACACAACAACAACATTCTCTACTACTACCACTGACACGACAACAACAGTCTCTACTGCTGCCACTAACACAACAACAACAGTCTTACTGCTGTCACAACAACAGCAACAACAACAACAGTCTCTACTACTGCCACTGACACGACAACAACAGTCTCTTTTGCTGTCACTGACACGACAACAACAGTCTCTTCTGCTGCCACTGACACAACAACAACAGTCTCTACTACTGTCACTGACACAACAACAGTCTCTACTACTGCTACTGACATAACAACAACAGCCTCTACTACTGCCACTGACACAACAACAACAGTCTCTACTGCTGTCACTGACACAACAACAGTCTCTACTGCTGTCACTGACACAGCAACAACAGTCTCTACTACTGCCACTGACACGACAACAACAGTCTCTTCTGCTGCCACTGACACAACACAATCTCTACTGCTGTCACTGACACAACAACAGTCTCTACTGCTGTCACTGACACAACAACAACAGTCTCTCCTACTGCCACTGACACGACAACAACAGTCTCTTCTGCTGCCACTGACACGACAACAACAGTCTCTACTACTGTCACTGACAGAACAACAACAGTCTCTACTGCTGTCACTGACACGACAACAACAGTCTCTACTGCTGCCACTGACACGACAACAACAGTCTCTACTACTGTCACTGACAGAACAACAACAGTCTCTACTGCTGTCACTGACACAACAACAACAGTCTCTACTACTGCCACTGGCATAACAACAACAGTCTCTACTACTGCCACTGACACAACAACAACAGTCTCTACTGCTGTCACTGACACAACAACAGTCTCTACTGCTGTCACTGACACAACAACAACAGTCTCTACTACTGCCACTGGCATAACAACAACAGTCTCTACTACTGTCACTGACAGAACAACAACAGTCTCTACTGCTGTCACTGACACGACAACAACAGTCTCTACTGCTGCCACTGACACGACAACAACAGTCTCTACTACTGTCACTGACAGAACAACAACAGTCTCTACTGCTGTCACTGACACAACAACAACAGTCTCTACTACTGCCACTGGCATAACAACAACAGTCTCTACTACTGCCACTGACACAACAACAACAGTCTCTACTGCTGTCACTGACACAACAACAACAGTCTCTACTACTGCCACTGGCATAACAACAACAGTCTCTACTACTGCCACTGACACAACACAATCTCTACTACTGCCACTGACACAACACAATCTCTACTACTGCCACTGGCATAACAACAACAGTCTCTACTACTGCCACTGGCATAACAACAACAGTCTCTACTACTGTCACTGACATAACAACAACAGTCTCTACTACTGTCACTGACATAACAACAACAGTCTCTACTACTGCCACTGACACAACAACAACAGTCTCTACTACTGCCACTGACACAACAACAACAGTCTTACTGCTGTCACAGCAGCAACAACAACAGTCTCTACTGCTGCCACTGACACAACAACGGGCTGTAAACCATGTTCTTGGGGGTGCAGCATGGAAAGTGTTGGGGAATTGTGTGAACCACGGACCCAGATAGACAATAGCTGTGACACCGGGATACGGACGATTGGTAGATAAGGTCTAAGCTCTACACATCTTTACACCAACCATTACCGTGTTTTCCTTCATTGCTGCACACCGGCTTAGTATGGTTAAACAGTTCGCTCGTCTAGCCTGAGGCCTAGTTCGATACCTTAAATGGGTACAACGTGTGAAGCTTATTTCTGAGGTCCACCCTCCATGACATAGCTGGAATATTGTCTAAAGCGGCGTAAAACATTCTCACTCCTAGTACATTCGATGGTTATGAATGGTTCCTGTTGTAACATGGTTCATAATGGCGTCATAGAATTGTTCCTGTTGTAACATGGTTCATAATGGCGTCATAGAATTGTTCCTGTTGTAACATGGTTCATAATGGCGTCATAGAATTGTTCCTGTTGTAACATGGTTCATAATGGCGTCATAGAATTGTTCCTGTTGTAACATGGTTCATAATGTCGTCATAGAATGGTTCCTGTTGTAACATGGTTCATAATGGCGTCATAGAATTGTTCCTGTTTTAACAT